CCCCAAAACCCCAAAACCCCAATTAATGAATTCACATGATTATTGATAGTTGGTAGATAAATACATGCAAGTATATTATTATTGTGGATGGCCTTTCATTAATTATTAATAGCTATTAAATAAGAATGCAAAAAGAGAGAAAAGTCAATGATAAAGTCAGATTTACCGAGAAGACCCTCAGTACTCAGCTAATGAATGCAGCCAAGCATCACATTGAGTCCTTCGACTATGCTATGCAAGTTTGCCTTCCCAGAATATGCTCGCAATTGCTAGCAGCAGAGATTAGTGCACCTACTGAAGCCGAGTTAGCAAGAAATAAAAATGCTGCTAACACGCAATACCCCTTCAAGAAGATGCTCATTTGGTTCGAAAATTTCCAGCTCAAGTAAGATTTGATGTCCTTATTGTTATAGGAAGCCCGCAAGGTAGGATCAATCAAGTGGCCTAATCACCTATTCTCAAGGATCAGCATCAGGCAAAGGAAGTCAAGATGGAGATAAAGTTTACCCATCAGAGTGCAGACTTAGATCTCTGACTTATGCAGCACCCTTATACGCCACTATAGCGAGAAAGATAGACAATGAGCCTGAAGAAAAAGTTACAGTCCCATTAGGCGATGTCCCAGTCATGGTTAGATCAGAGAACTGTCATTTGCATGCACTTACTGAGCAGGAGTTAGTTAAAAGGCATGAGGATATGGCTGAACTAGGAGGTTATTTCATTATCAATGGCAATGAAAGAATCGTGAGAATGCTCATCATGACCAAGAGAAACTACCCAGTTGCCTTCTCAAGACCAACATTCATCAACAGAGGAAAGCTCTTCACTCCATTCGCAGTTCAGATGAGATGTGTAAGAGACGACTTATTTGCTTAGACACTTACACTACATTATCTCAGTGATGGCAATTGCTCAATGAGACTTATTTATCAAAAGCAAGAGTTTCTTATTCCAGCTTATGTCATCCTAAAGGCACTAGTAGATGTGACTGATGTGCAGATCTACAACAAACTCGTGAAAGGGTACTTCAAGAATAGATAGATTGGAGACAGAGTAGAGGTGCTACTCTAAGACGGAAATAAACTCAGTCTCTACTCTTAAAACCAATGTCTGGCTTATTTAGGATCTAGATTTAGAATGGCTTTGGTAGGAGTTCAATCAGATATGTCAGATGTCGATGTTGGTAACTTCTTTATTCAGAGACACTTATTCGTTCATACTTAGTCTTACAAGGACAAGTTCAACACCCTCTGCATTATGATTGAGAAGTTATATGCTGTCGTGGCTTAAGAATGTGAACTTGATAACTTAGATTCCCCATCAAACCAAGAAGTGCTTCTCAGTGGTCACTTATATGCTTCTCTTCTGGCTGAGAAACTTCAGGATCTGCTTTTAGGGGCTAAGGCGAAAATTGTTAGAGATCTAAGAAACCCTAACTTTGATAGACTTCAGATTAGAAATCCTTTGTACATGAAAAAGATGATTGATTCACAAGTATCAGTAGGTAAAAAGATGGAGCATTTCCTTGCTACAGGTAATCTCATTTCCAGAACAAATCTCGATTTAATGCAGACTGCTGGTTATACTATTGTCGCAGATAAACTAAACAATCACAGGTACTTATCTCATTTCAGATCAATTCACAGAGGACAGTACTTCGCTGAAATGAAGACCACTACTGTTAGAAAGCTGCTGCCAGAAGCCTGGGGATTCTTATGCCCAGTGCACACTCCAGATGGTGGACCCTGCGGTCTATTGAATCATATCACATCATCATGCATACCATTGGCTAAAGAGGATGGAGAGTTATGCAGACATGGTGAAAAACTCAAAAACTTTAAGGCTCTTCTAGCTTAACTAGGTATGAACCCAGTGTCAAGTGATTTCGGCCTCATCTACCCAAATAAATATCTTCCAATAATGCTGGATGGAGTACTACTAGGATGTGTAGACCCTTAAATTGCCCCTGAGCTGGTCAGATCCCTTAGAGCTCTGAAGATACAACAACTAAATACAAGTGCACTCTATGAATCAGTTCCAAAGACACTTGAAGTAGCCTTCCTTCCTCCGACTTTCCCACCTGAAGATGATACTACTAACGGAGAGCAAGAAGTTCAATCTAATCAGAAAGGTCACAAAAATAAATTCTTCCCAGGTATCTTTATGACATCATCAGTAGCTAGATTTGTGAGACCAGTCTAGAATCTAGAAGTAGGAGGTGTTGAATGGATCGGACCTTTGGAATAAGTCAACTTATCTATTGCTTGTCTCGAAGAAGACATTAGAACAGACACCACTCATCAGGAAATAGATCCAATCAATGTGCTAAGTATGATAGCCTCAACCATTCCATTTGCAGATTACAATCAGTCACCCAGAAACATGTATCAGTGCTAAATGGCAAAACAAACAATGGGGACTCCTTATCACAATCATCCCTACAGAATGGACAATAAAGTTTACAGAATTCTGTTCCCTCAGGAGCCACTAGTCAGAACAGAGAATTACAACAATTATGATTTCAGATAATACCCTTCAGGAACGAATGCAGTAGTAGCAGTTATTTCCTACACAGGATATGACATGGAAGACGCTATGATTATTAATAAGAGTGCCTATGAGAGAGGCTTCGGCCATGGCTGTGTCTACAAGTCCTACATCAAAGAACTAAACGAGCAAGTCATGGGCGGCTCATCATCAAGCAAGTCGAGATATAGAATGATTAACCAGAACAAGTATCGTGAGGATGCAAGAATAGATCTAGCTGAGAAGAATATAGATTCAGATGGTACTCCTTAGATTGGATTGAAACTGACTCACGGCTCGCCAGAGCTATGCGTCTATGATACAGTACTAGGCAAGCCTAAGTACATGAGTTTCAAGGATAACGAACCAGCAAGAGTTGAGAATGTAAGACTGATGGGAGATGAAAAGGGTTCAGCCAACAATGTCAACTATGGATACACCATTAGATACTCTAGAAATCCAGTAATCGGAGATAAATTCAGTAGTCGTCACGGTCAGAAGGGAGTCTTGTCAGTTCTCTGGCCTCAAGAGGACATGCCTTTCACTGAGAGTGGTATCTCTCCAGATATCATTATCAACCCCCACGCCTTCCCTTCTAGAATGACTATTGGTATGTTGATTGAGTCTATTGCTGGTAAATCAGGTTCTAACTCTGGTCAATTCAAGACTGTAAAGACCTTTGAAAAGTACGAAGACGACGATGTAGTTTAGTACTTCGGACAAGAATTACTAAAGCAGGGCTACAACTACTATGGAACCGAGACTATGTATTCTGGAATATTCGGAGATCAAATGAAGGTAGATATCTTCTTGGGAGTAGTATACTATCAACGTTTAAGACATATGGTCTCAGATAAAAGTCAAGCTCGTGCCACAGGACCATACGATGTGCTCACTCATCAACCAGTCAAGGGTAGAAAGAAGCAAGGAGGTATCAGATTCGGAGAGATGGAGAGAGATTCTTTGTTGGCTCATGGTGCCTCTTTTTGTCTTAATGACAGGCTTATGAAGTGCTCAGATTATAGTGAAGGCTACGTTTGCAAGAAATGTGGAAGTATTATCAGTTGCTACTTAAACAGAGAAATTCTTAAGAATCAGAGCAGTGTTGGAGCCAATCAATAGAAGTATGCTGTTAATGAGAGAGTGTACTGCAGAGTATGCGATGACTACGACTGTAGAAAAGTCCAAATTCCATACGTGCTTAGATATCTCACCAATGAACTAGCTGCTATGAATATCAAACTTCAATTCCACTTGGAGCCAGCTGTCTGATAGACAGTCAATGAAAAATAACTAATTAAATATTTATTTTCGAAATAACCGTCTCAATTAATAAGTGTTTTTATGACTAATGGGGTTTTGGGGTTTTGGGGTTTTGGGG